GTCGTCCAATCAGCGATGTCTCATGTTTCCCACTGGTACCTACCTTTTCCGATAGGTTTATGTTGTTGCGATTTCCTTAATGTAGTTGCGCTTTGCTTTATGTAGTTGCGATTTCCTTAATGTAGTTTTGTTTTTCTTAATGTAGTTGCGCTTTGCTTTATGTAGTTGCGATTTCCTTAATGTAGTTGCGCTTTTAGATTTGTAGTTTCAGTGTGCACTTCAGGGCCACCGTAACTGAGAGTCCATTTGATTTTTATTTCTCGTTTTATTTTGCTAACCAGTTCCAGTGTTAAGTGTTCTGTTGAAAATAAAGTATGTTTATCTTTGGCAGGAAAATGCATTCATTATTACATCATTTCCATTAAATCAGTGTAAAAAGGTCTTAAAACAATATTATCGTTTATCGCAATCATTTTTGAGACAATCTTTCAGCAAAATTTGTTATCGTGACAGGCCTACCACTGGCTAATATGGATGGATGTAATCGGCATACTAAAGAAGAAAAGCAGGTTACCTACGTCACATGAACACACTCCTGCTACATCTGTGGGCCCTTAATTAATACTCAGCAATAATCCAGGATAAAGGATTCATCTTCTCTACTGAATCCATCTCACTTCCTGCTCGGCAGGCGTTTGGAGGCTCTTACCCCACTATGGCGGCGGTGGGTCGGGTATTGTGCTGTGGTTGAGTGGAGGCACTGGTCGAGAGCGTGGCGTCGCCTCCTCCCTTTTCCCAATCGAAGGGCTCATTCTCCGTTATGATTCGCTCCTTCATGCTGTTCTCAAATACTGACATCAACAGCTAAAAGACATCAAAGTAACATCAGTGAGAGCGCCAGTGCTGGGATTACAGGTGTCCGTGCGCTTACTGTACCTGGTAGTCTGGTTTGGTGTAATAATCCAAGGCCTGGACGTGATCCAGGAAAATATTGAATTCTGAAGGCATGTGTTTGAGCAGCATCCGGTGGTCGTAACGCTCCTTAATCTGACCTACTTGTTCCTGAGCAATGAAACAAAAAATCCACATCAGTCTTTATCCAATACAGCTGATCCTGTTAGTAAACAAGTCATAAGAAACTTGGGTTTTATCTGATTAATTTTAGAAATGATGATGGAATCAATAGGAAGCAACAGCCAGTTTAGAAAGGAGGAGATTTCTAGGTGAGCAGCAACAATCTATGGTGCTGCCAACTGAAATTTTAAAGCTTTAGACTCTATTTCCTATTATTTAAAATCACTCAGAGAGATTTACATTTAGTTAAGGCAGTGAGATTCATTCTAGCACATATGAGAGCAAAATAATGTCCTGCAGGAATCATTATTTTCTGTGACCCTCTGCGATGTAGCGGCCTAAGTCTGTGTCTGTGATGCAGGTGACCCCGATTCAAATCCCGTTTTCATCAGGAAGAGCTTCCAGGCGTAAAAGCTCGGCCAAGTGTGCGTGAACACAAGTTGCTCTGACTTTCAGTGGCGACCCCCTGCATACAGGAGCAGCTGAACAGACTGCCTGCGTTTAAGTGCTAAAACGGATTAAAAAAAACAACACATTTTGGTTTTTTTCAAACTGATGTCTGAACGCATACGTCGGGTTCATAAAATGTAGGTTTTTGCTTAAGAAGAACTGAAATACACAATTTATGGATACA